CTAGTATACCCAATCCCTTGTATAATGTAGAGAATCAGTCAACCAGTCTAGAAGTTGAAAATAAACTTTTATTCTGGGTGTCCGTTAAACGAAGATGATTTTGAACAGGAGAAAACAGAAGTCAAGTCACCTAGTGTATACGAAAGAACAGTAAATATCAATGCCATATTTAAGTGATAGTATTTCTAAAAAAATTCATAGTTCCAAAGGTAATTTAAACTTGAAATGGCGAAGGAGCTATGGGTGTGTGCACTCCTCAAAAGCAATGTTCTTGGAAATAACATCGAAATACATATCCTAATTGCATAAAAAAAACATAGGCAAATCGGTCCCTTCTGTCATTGACAATGTTATCATAAAAAACAGTTTCTTCAGCTATTATCAAGCAATCAAGATGACAATGATGATAATAATAGTAATGCTAAAAGTAATAATAATAATAATAACAATGACAATAGTAGTCGTTGCAGTAGTACAATTATCATTATTATTATTATTATTACTATTATTATCATTATCATTATTATTATCAGTAGTAGTAGTAATAGTAGTATTAGTAGCAGCAGTAATTGTAGTAATGATAATGATTTCCTAAAAGTAAACATGCCATTTTGGAAAATCAATCTGTTCCTAACACATGAAAAGGAGACTCACCATCACCTCTCGTGTTTTGTTTTGAATATTACACCTATTTATAATACTCCTAATTGTAATACAGAATATGGCTACAAAACCCAGGACCGGGATAAGTCACCTGTTTTACATGGATGACTTGAAATTGTTTGCCAAAGACGGCAACGATCTTGAAGGAATAATGCATTCAGTAAAGAAATTCAGTTATATTCTACCAGTTTGTTCAAAATTGTGCCAGGCCCGACCCAACGAATATGCACATATACGGACGTGCATCTACACATAAATAAATATATATCTATCTATCTGATGGATATACATTCATATATCTATCTGTCCAGTAGATATGCATGTTTAGACTTATTAGTGTGCATTTATTCATGTGTATATGCAGGTCTGTATTATGAAGATTCATTGGCCTCGCACAATTTTAACAAACCGGCCGATAGACACATTAGGACGAGACAAATGCGCAACGACCAAAAGACAAGAACATCACAAGAACTGGACACTATCCGATATTAAGAGAATTGATACAAAAATCGGAAAAAATCATGTCATGCAACAGAATGCACCATCCGAAGGCTAACGTAAACAAACTACAATTAGACTGATGCACCGTCAGAAAAGACCTCGATTAAGAAGTCTGGCAAGTATGTGGGTGTCAGTGAGTGATGGAAGACAACAATAGCTCCATGAAAGAAACATAAAGGATATTATCGTAGAGTTCTTGCAATACTAGCAACAAAACTGAACTCTGCAAACACACAGAAAGAAAGAAACACGTTCGCTTCGATATCATCAACTGGACACTATCCGATACTAAGAGAATTGATACAAAAATCGGAAAAAAATCATGTCATGCAACAGAATGCACCATCCAAAGGTCAACGTAAACAAACTACAATTATTATCATTATTATTATTATTATTATTATTATTATTATTATATTATTATTTGTTTTGTTGTTGTTGTTGTTGTTGTTGTTGTTGTTGTTGTTGTTGTTGTTTTAATTATTATCATCATAGATATTATTACTATTATCATTATCACTTCTATTAGGATTTTTGATATTATTGTTATATATAGTAATTAGGATGAAAACATAATGATATTGATGATATTAATGATAATGATTTTCTTTATACGGGCATACATATATACCGAAATACATATCTATCAATCTCTACATATATATCTACCGGATAGACTGATAGATAAATGTATATGTATCAGATATACAGACAAATATGCATTTATTTTTGGTGAAAATACATGTACGTATAAATGAATATATTTTGGGTCGGGCCTCACACAATTCTAATAAATTGGCCGTATAATAATAGTAATGGTAATAATATAATGATAATATAATAATAAGGAAAATAATGATAAATAATAATAACAATAAATGATAATAATAAGGAAAATAATAGTAATGATAATAATATTAATAATGATAATAACAATAATAATAATAATGAAAAAATAATGATAATAGTAATAATGAAAATAATAATATTAGTTATAATAATGATAATGATAATAATAATAATAATAATAAATATTGAATAACAATAATGAATAATAAATCATAATAATAATATAATAATAATAATAATAATAATAATAATAATAATAATAATAATAATAATAATAATAATAATAATAATAATAATAATAATAATAATAATAATAATAATAATAATAATAATAATAATAATAATAATAATAATAATAATAATAATAATAATGAAAACAACAATAATAATAATAATAATATAAACACGTGTAGGCGCCAGTTTCCTTAGTTTGTATTGTGTAATTGAGAGTTTTAGGTGACCTTTTTTCTTCAGATAAGAAATG